GGCTCATTGCAATGTATATTTGTCCTTCAGAAAATATGTTCTTCATCAATATTCAACAATGCGGTTGGGCTTGTTTTTATATATGGCCCAAATGGCCAGCAATTCGATTCAATGTTTTGGCTTCCACTAATTACAATGTCAGTGGAAGAGACGGTCTTAATGAAGCACATAGATAAAAAAAATGGATGATATGGTTTTTTTTTAATGAAAGAATATTATTATTATGAATTTGATCAATTAACATTCCTTCAAATTTAGAAGGCATTTCTTAAACTAAAGCTTAATTCTATTCTAAGAAATTTACTTTTATAAATTAATTAAAATGTTTATTGGTCCGACATCTTTTCTTTTTCTTTTATTATAAATCGAACTTCCATCCGTTAAAAAAAATTTGGCTGCGCTTAACTTAACTTAACATCAACATTAATGTAAAATTAATGTAATGTAAATGATGACGTTGACGTTGACTTTAACGTTAACGTTAACGTTAACTACTCTGTATACACAACGCAATCATTTTTGTAACACTTGAAATCTCCTTTTTTTTCGAAAAATTCCTCTTTTAAACAAAAGAAAAATGACCGAAAATCCCCTTTTTAAAGCTAAATACGTCGCATTAAATTAAATTCGTCATATTCTTTGTTTAAATCAGCATATTCATATAAATACGGAATAACGAGGTTTATTATATAAATTCGTTATAACGAAATTTTTTATTTGATAGGGAAGATTTTGTTCGGTATAACAAAATCCGTTATAACGAGGTTTGACTGTATTGTGTACTACTATTACTATTACGCGTAGGTAAAAAATTCGAAAAAATATCAAGTTAACAATTTGATTTTTTCATCTTATAATAAAGAATAGTTTTAATTTGTAAAAAAGAAGAGGCATTTTTATTTTGAAAGAGAATATACGGGAAAAAAATTAATTAATTATAATAATATAATCAGTTTAATTAAATGAAATTTCTAATTCAGATTATAACATTTGTAAACTTCCCATGAATTACTCTCCTTGCATCATTGCAATATACATGCAGCAATGACAATTCTTTATTTGTCCCCGGGCACGCATTTTTACATAATTTGGAACTTTTGATAATCCTACTTATCATTATCATTATTGCTGCTTGTATCAAGTGTTTTTACTTATGTCGGTGGTTTTACTTGCGTCAAGGTCTTTACTTTAGTCAAATAGTCAAAATAGCCCTAATGAGAAACTATCTTTAGTCAATACTTTAGTTACGCCAATGACTAAAGTCAAAAGTTTCGACATACATCATTAACTCAACTACAGTCAAACCTTAATAAACCGATTTTCGCTTTATAACGATGCAAAATTGGTTAACCGAATCATATTTAATAAAATTTATTTCGTTAAGCCGAATTTTTTTATAATTTCTACAAAATAATAAAAATGTAACTTTCTAAGCCGAATATGATCATAAACTTGATTTTAAAAATGATAAAAATTCGGCTTAAAAATAATGTCGATCTACTTTCTATAAAATTTATACTTTAACCATGTCACGTTCTAATAAAAAAGCATGAAAATTAGAATTTTGAATAATATTGAAGTTGATAATGTTGAAATTGAATGTTGAAGTTGATACTGAACGAGAAAATCGAGAAGTTCAAGACTTAATTAACTAACTCCCATTTGATGATTCACTTTTAGCGGACGAGTATTTAAATATTGAGAATAACATGGTTGCAGGTGAATTAGTAATGGAAGATGAGGATATTATTGCATTAATTCAACAAACAGGAATAGATGAGCAACGGGATGAAACCTTTATTCCAGAAATTTCTATTACAGATACCATAATGGGATTTATTAAATTTTTTAGTATACCCTCTAAGTGATTTCGATGTATGCGAAAAGTGCATTCGTACTCTTAGAAAAAAAACATCAAGTCATAAGATTAATAATTCAGCGTAACAATCTTTAGATAAATATTTTTGTTTAGAATAATTTGTAAAATTTATATTTTATAACGAATTTATTATACGAATTTTGATAAGCAGATCCTATTTTTGTGATTCCCAAAAGTTCGGTTTATCGAGGTTTGACTGTAAATATATTTTTTTATAGAATATCCAGAAAAAAAATTTTCAAAAGTTTATCTTTTTCAAGCAATGTTTGTTGATTGACTATTTAATATTATAAAAAAGGTTACGATTTAAATAGAAGTGGCGATGGCATTTAAAACGATAATCTTTTTCCTTGTGTCACTCACTATTCACTTTGCCCCAAATGAGTGAATTATATTTATTAGATTATGGTGCAGGTAATGTTCGTAGTTTAGTGAATGCTGTGAATAGATTAGGCTTTGAAATTAAATGGGTAAAAGAACCGACTGATATTTTAAAAGCTGACGTAAGTCCATTACCGAAATCAACAATTAATTTTTTGATTAATTAAATGTTATCAACTGATGAATTGTTTATTATATCCCACCAAAAAAAAATTTTTTTATTAAATAGAAATTAATTTTTCCTGGAGTCGGAGCATTTGGTAGTGCAATGAATTCATTGGTGGCAAAACAATATGTGGAACCTTTAAAAAAATATATCTCTTCAGGAAAACCATTTATGGGGATATGCGTTGCATTACAAACAATGTTTGAAGGTTCTGAAGAAAGCCCTGGTGTATCAGGATTGGGTATTATACCTGGAATCGTAAAGAAATTTGACAAGAATGATGAGAAATCAGTGCCTCACATGGGATGGAATGAGGTCAACATACTATTGAAGGATGATAATGATAATGATAATGACAATGGTGATCTTTTTGGTATAAAAAATAATAATGTCTATTATTTTGTTCACTCTTATGCCGTACCATATTCTGACTCACTTCTGGAATGGACTCTTTCAACAACTCAATATGGATCAGAGGTTTTCATAAGTTCAATTCAGAAAGATAATATATTTTGTACACAATTTCATCCAGAAAAAAGTGGCAAAGCTGGATTAAAGATATTAAAAAGTTTTTTGGAAAAAGATATTATTAGTTCTATCAACAACAAAAACAACAATTCCAATAAAAATTATTCTGCAACTAAAATAAACCCTGTCTTATTATCAAAAGACCATTTCACAAAAAGAATTATTGCTTGCTTAGACGTTAGAACAAATGATCAAGGGGATTTAGTTGTCACCAAAGGTGATCAATATGATGTAAGAGAAGATATTGATGATGACAACAATGTTATTGATGTCAATAATAATATAAAAGTGACACGTAGAGTAAGAAATCTTGGTAAGCCTGTTGACTTGGCACGTAGATATTTTGAAGAGGGTGCAGATGAAATCACCTTTTTAAATATAACATCATATAGAAATTTTCCATTATCAGATTTACCAATGTTGGAGATTTTACGTAAAACATCAGAAACAGTTTTTGTACCTTTAACAATTGGTGGTGGGATACGAGATTTTACTGATCCTGATGGAAAATTTCATTCGGCACTAGATGTAGCTGGTGAATACTTTAGGTCAGGTGCTGATAAAGTATCAATTGGTAGTGATGCTGTTTATGCTGTAGAAAAATACTTGAAGAATGGGTGTAGTTTGGATGGTAGTACAGCAATTGAATTGATATCAAAGGGTTATGGATCACAGGCAGTTGTGATTTCAGTTGATCCAAAAAAAGTTTATGTCAAGAGCCCAGAAGAAACTCCACATCATGTGATCAAAACAAAGTATCCAGGTCCAAATAAAGAAACATGGTGTTGGTATCAGTGTACAGTGAAAGGTGGTAGGGAAACAAGAGATGTGGATGTTTATCAGTTAGTTACCATTTGTGAGATAATGGGAGCAGGAGAAATTTTGTTGAATTGTATTGATAAGGATGGTACAAACTCAGGTTATGATTTGGAATTGATAGAAGATGTTAAAAAAAGTGTAAAGATTCCTATTATTGCTTCAAGTGGAGCTGGTAATGAATCTCACTTCCTTGAAGTTTTTAAATGCACTGGTGTTGAGGCTGCACTTGCTGCAGGAATATTTCATCGTAAAGAGGTTCCTATTGAAAAAGTCAAGAAATTGTTAAAACATAGTGATATCTTGATTAGGAATGTGGATAATGAATGAGCTGTAAATTGTAATTTATGATTTATTTAAAAAAAATAAATCTATATGTAACAATATTTCATATATCAGATAGTTGTAATATTTACAAATCAAGAATATGGGTCCCTTTTTTTCTTTTTTTTTTTAGTAACAATTAGGTTTTTACTTTTGGTTTTTACCTTAGTTAATATGAAAATAAAAAAAAAGCTCTCCATATTCTTGTTTAATGATAGCCCAATAACATTTATCTTTAATTTGAAGCTTATAAATTGTTTCCTTCAAAAGTTATCAGGGTTTAAATCAGCAAAAAATTCTCAATGAAAATTAATATGTGGCTCTCATATATTTGTAACACATAATATTGGACCCAAGCATGCCCCAATTGTATTAAAATCGTGGTTGTTAAAATTGACAAATCAGATTCAAGCATATGATCAATAAACTGCGGTTTCAAAACCACGGTTTTATACAAGAAAATTAATTAACAGCCGGACTTCCGAATCAGTTTCAATTATAGAAATTTAAATGGCAAAAAGCCCATTTTAATTGTAAAATCTTGTTTTAGTAGGTGAAATAAAGCCACATTCACATTAAGTGCTAAATGCAAGAAAATGGGAGAGTAAAAGAGATACAACTAAATTGATTTACTACCTATTGAGGTCTTTGAAGCATTGTAATTTAGCAAATTATAATTTATTATCATCATAATTATCATGTATTTGTTTTAATATTATTAATTTTATTATTTGTATTAGATATATTGGTAAAACAATCAAATTTGATTCGCAGTAAAGATGCGCAGCTTTAGTTAATAAAGGAACTTGATAAAACCGTACACTTAAATGTTTAACTATTGTTTATTTTTTTTACCAGTGAGATAATAGTATTTTTATGTATGCTGTCACATTGCAACCGAGATGAAATCAATTCAATGGATTTTAAAAGATTAAAACGAAAGATGTTGAATTTTCCTAATTAATTGATAACCATAATAATAAATAAATATAAAATAGTAAAAGATGATTATAGTTACATATTCACAACAAATATAATAATATAACTATTACCTATATTATCCATATTATTCATTTGATTACAAAATTCATGAAATTCTGGTGAGCTAACAAAATTAATTAAATTATCAAAAATTTCCTGCAATGAAGGAACTTCATGTGTTTGATTCCAAGAACAAAATCTTGTAAAGGTTTCTTCTAATTTAGAAATCTATAGAATTAAATTCTGATTGAATGTCTTTTTTCTCAATTGATTAAAATAAATAAAAATGAAAATAAAAAATATATTTAAATAAATCGAATACTTACATTTGAATCTTTTATTTCCTTTATACAATCTACAGCAATACATTCAAAAATATTTAAAAATATTGAATGGCCTATGTATGGTTTACATATATATATATGAGTAAATTTTATTTTAAAACAAAAATAGTATGATTAAAAATGAAATGTATATATACCCTTTTTAAGTGATTCTATAACATCATAGTCAAAATCGTTTGGCATTTTGAGGGTACATGGCCAAATTACTGCTGTATTGGCAAGGATGGAAAGAACAAAATTGTTATTTGTTTTTTCTCGACAGATATCATAACACAATATTCGAACACGTTGAATTTCATTTAAAGTTCGACAAATTGCAACGAATAATCTACACAATCGACTATAGACATATATATTTCAAGCGGTTAGCAAATTCTAAGTAATAATAATACATGAATTAATTAAATGCACACCTGATATATCCTAGGTTAAGATTTTCATCTTTGTATGAAATAATTTTATCGGAAATCCAAAATAGTATTTTTTCAAAAAATTCATTCTATAAATGAAATGAAATGAAATTATATGTCATGCAAGATAATAATAAGGATAATAATATAAAGATAACAAAAAAAAATCCTGTGTACAGTGGAAACAACAAACCTCGTATTCTTCTGAAATAAGATGAATCAAAAATAATATAATATCTTTTTCTTTATCTGGCAAAATAACAGGTAACTTTATATCATTAGGATTTTTCAGAGAAGATTTTCTGGGATATGATTTGGTCTCATCACCAATGATATTTGAATAAATATTTAAATAAATAGGTGTGTCCAAGCCACAAATAATTTCATTCAAGATATTCGTCAGAACATCAAACTTTTCTAGTGTAAAATTTTGTCGTAAAAATGACATTAAACACATTGATCCATTTAGTTCAGTAATAAGACCTATTAATTTTCCATTAATAACTGTTAATAAAAATCAATGTTTAATCCTTGGAAAAAAAAAAACTGAAATGCAGGCATTCACGTTATTTACATGTAGTCTGTGCAATGTCCAATTGTTTATTTAATTCGGCGATTGTTGAAGTATTTTCTGTTATAGTCTCATCCATTATTGCAATTCTAAAATCTCGCTCTAATATCTTATCCTGTAATTCTTCCTCACTATTTCTTAATAATTTTAATTCATCTTTGATTTTATCAGCTTCTGACTGATTTCTTCTGATTTCTTCATCTCTGTTTAAAATAAAACAAATGAAATGAATTAAGCAATGAATATCATAATAATTATATAATTATAATAATATTTTCAATTTATCAACCATAAATTAGGCCCATCTAGAGGAAGTGCAATACTAGTGAACCTGCCATGGTGTATCAAATGTATAATGCTAGTTGCCAGAACAAAATGATAAATAAATGGATGAATGCTGGCTATTTAAGTAATTTTAACCTAGCATTAAAAAAAAAGAATTATCTGCTCTATCAGTATACAAGCATTAGCAACGCACTTACTTTATTTCAAGGTCTTTCTTCAGTTTTATTATTTCGTGCCTTTCATTTTCACTCAGCATTTTAGCTAATTTACTCTCATTAATCTTATGTTCCAATCGTCCTTTTAAAGTCTTGTAAGAATAGAAATAAAAAATAAAAATTCAAAGAATACAGTAAATCCAATTATTCCCACAAGCAAAAAAAATATTTAACGTGATTGCTACTAATTTTAATAGTGATGTTTTCGTTTAATTGATTTTTACCTCCAACACCCGTATCTTTTTACTAAATTCATCATTTTCTCTTCTTAGTTGTTGGATATCATCATCTAATAATTTTTGATTTCTTAATTGTGTGTTTTTTTCTTCTAATTGTTGTTTTAAATCAGTTGCTTCTTTTTTATATTGTTGAGCAGCCTGTCGAAAGATTTCACTCTCTTTATTAAGAACAAAAAGTTGAGAATCTGATTTTGATAATTTTTCTTTTAAATTTGCTAATTCTGTTGTATATTGTTCCATTTCTTTAAATGTATTCAAAGTAAGTACTAGAGAAAACACGATGAATTTTTTTAAATAAATCATCAAACCTTTTTCCTTTCCCTTGTAAAGTTGTAATAAAGTATTTGAATGAATGATTCTTTCTTTAACTTTTTTTACATTTTCAGAGACTTTCGGCTTCTTATTTTTCTTTATTACAGCAGGTACTGAATCTGATATTATTTTTTGTTCCATTTTTTTTTTTGAGATAAAAAAAAAATATATAACTTGAAAATCATTCCATATTTAAGGGTAGCAAGGCACCGTGTTATGTCGATCATCGTAACAGTAATCTTTTTCCTCGATATATTACGAAATTTGTAAATTTATTCTTTATTTTATTAATATCAAATAATGATAATTATAATGGTCGCTGATTATACCGATCCCCTTTTTTGGAAAGAAAAAATTTAATTAATGCAATGTTGTATACATACATTTTATTATTATTACAGTAATATCAACTAGAATATTTTGGTGTTGAATCCCTATCAAAGGATTGTGTCCATTATTCGAAGATGAAAGAAGCCTTTAGAAATAATTGGAGTAATTTGCCATAGTAGATTATGCTTTGATAAAAACAAAAAAGTAGTATCGATTATACAACAAAGATTAAAAAGGTCTTGAATCCATCTAGTCAAAGTAACTTGAAAATTTAACATATGTTGTTAGGATTTACATAACAAAAACATTTTAACTAATCTTATTACTCTCCATATCGTTTATGATATAATGTCATTGTATACCCAATCAATTTGTGCAAAAGTTTTAACAAATCTTTAGTAATGGTCAATCAATTGATGATATTGAAGCTGTACTTTTATGGCATTTGCAACTTAATCAAGAACAAAAGTTAAATCAGTTGCTAAAGACATAGAATATTTACATAATCTTAAATGGGGCATGCTGCAACAAAACCAGACAAAGTGAACATCGGTATTACCAAAGATTTCAGGGATCAATAATGTTTGTTTAACATCACAAATTGTATTATCAATGTAATGTGATCATGATATTCATCTAGACAAAAATAGTTAATATGAAACTCATTTACATCGGATCTACTATGGAACCCAAGAATTACAGCACCATTAGAAGTATTTTGAAAAAGGAACAAGGTGAAAAAATTGCTCCT